ATATCTATCCCCACTAACAAGTTTTGAACTTCAATTCAGAAAAAAAAGACTATATGTATATCAGTCTTTTTGATACATGGTAGGTTTGTGGTTAAAGGACATTTGAACATTATCATTATGCTGTGTTTTTCTATACCAACATATGATCCATATATTAAAAAAAATATGTATCTATATAAGCAGTTTTCTTCTAAAACCTGCTATTATATATTCTAATCATTTAAAAAATATTCATGTATTCATGTCAAGAATATAGCACTGTGCATTTGGTTTTGCTCAACATTTTAGCAATTTGATTAAAATATTAATAAACTAGTTTTGTGATAGCCTTTTCCCTTGCCCAGTGAATACAAGATAAGTTGACCCATTTTTTTACAGGCTCAACAAGGGCAATCCATTTCATGCTACAGCACTGACCCTTAACAAAGATCTTGTAAATGAGTAGCCCGTTACAGTATGTACAAGTGACCTTCAACTGCACCAAGAAGCTTTTCGTTACAAGCTTTTTCAACGCTACACTATAGCTACAGTATAAACTTGTAAAGCATTTCTCAGGTTATTGAGTAGAAATGGCAGAAACATCAAAAAAACCCTGTATCGAAATACGTAAATATAAAGCTTGGGTCATTTAATTAAGTGTACATTATAATAATGCCTTTTAAATAACCATTGATTGGAAAGACAAGCCTTATTTTTTCATTCATATAAAAATTAAATATTTAGAACATTTATAAACAATCCATTAATTAAGGACTTAAAATCTAATCAAATACAATTTTCCTTTTAATAGCTTTTGGAAACAGATAACTATTTCCAACTTGACATTGGCTTAATTTCGTAACTGAAAATTTTAATTTTAGTAAAAGACACTCTCTGCTCTTTTTGTGAACTACTGTACAATTTGATGTTTTATTATACTAGTCTAAATGTTCTTGTGAAATTCAAATGTTCAGTGAAGAATCATATACCTAAAAAACACACATCTAAATACATTTCAAGATTTATTTATATTAAGCAATGATATTTAGAACAAATTTCCAGTACAGTATATGGTCATACATTTCAACTGATTCTATCAGCAGTTTCTGAATGAGTGCAATATATTTTTGACAGTCTTAAAAAAACTGAAACCAAATACTCAGTTTTATTAAATCCTTCATATTAGGTATCTTATTTCTGGAATCCTCATGCCAAAATGATTTAGTTTGATTCTCTACAACAATGGTGGGCTGACTTGACAGCACCTGACAAAACAGTTCAGTGAACTTCACTATAAAAGATAAAAAGAACCTGAACTGGCTACTCTATGATATGTCCACTGTGGCATGGAGTTATGACAGTAATAACTTTGCCAGATTTTAATTTCTGCTTAAATTTTTAAAATTAAAATAAGAGAACTGCTATATATATATTTTTATGGTTAAAGACATTTCTGTTATACCCATGTTTCTCCTAATAATTTATTATAGTCCCCAAATTCTACCTTTTCAGTACAAATAATTAACATTTAATCTCATATTGCTTTAATGAAGAACACAACTTCTCATTATTAAACTTCATTACTAATATTATTTTTAGTAATATTAATAAAAGAATAAAATATTTTACAATCGTATTATTTACTGCTTAAATTTTGATTAAAAATGGTATTCAAAAAAACTTCCAACAAATAAAATATTTGCAAAAGAAAAATATAGTTTTTCACCTGGACGAAGCAAACTGCTAATAAAACCAGCTATGACAAAAGGGGAGGAAAAAATGAGGAATTTTAAAAAATTGAATCTTGTAAGTTGTATACATCTTAATTATCTCACAGGATAATTTTTGACACTGTACAGATAATAGATGTAAAACAATTTAGAAAAATATAAAAATTTGATAACCAGCTATGAGCATATTAACATTTGCAGAAGTACATGAATATAGAATGTAAGCGTATACAATAATAATATATTGTAATTAAATTTGGGATACTTTTGAACCATATTCAAATAGTTGACTGGAACAAGGGAACTGCATTTCTTTGTACAGAATACTTCCTGTATGGAGCTAAGATTTAGAAATCCCACAGAAGTGGAGAGTGTTTTAGGGAATCGCTTTCTATTTCTTGTAAATTAAATTTTCTTCTATAGTAATATGCCTACTTTATACAAAACAGTTTAGAAATTAGTAAAAAAACAAGGTAAAGAACAATCTTGTTACTGTAACATATTCATACATATATTATCATCATGTTATATATGAGGGAGAAGCTATGATTAATCCAATCTAAATTTCTTTTATAGTGTATTTTATAAAAATACAGTAGAAATGCTTGCTAGGGGCAGAAGAATTTTCTCCTTGAATGTTAAAAGATTTCATATATATTTGAGATTTGTTATCTATTCCTTCATAGAGAATCCTTCAGGGCAGAGGCTTTTTGGCTTATGGACTAAAGATGAGCTGGCAGTAAAGCTTGGTAGGTGGCAGGTATTAGTGGTAAGGATACAGGTTTTGGAATAAAACAGACTTGAATTTAAGTGTAATTTCTGTCAGTTATTATCTCTATGATTTTGGCAATTAAATTGCTTGATCTCTCTAAGCTGTAAGTTTTCTCCTTTTAAAATATGGATAATAATAGTACACGGTTGTTCTGAGATCTGTGAGGTATACCTATAAAGCACTTATGATAGTCCCATGTTAAACATACAATAAAATTATTATTATTACTATTAGTTAAAATTTTTTATTAAAAGCAATTAACAGAACTACTGAATTTGTTAACTTTGCAGTGCAATTCCGTGCATGGATTCAGAAGATCTGGACTGAATACCGGCTCTAACACAGCTGTGGTCAGTGAAAAAGAGGAAGACCCTCAATGAGATGGATTGACACAGTCGCTGTAAGAATGGGCTCAAACATAACAATGATTGTGAGGATGGTAGAGGACTGAGCAGTGCTTCATTCTGTTGTACACAGGGTTGGAATCGACTCGGCTTTGGGAAGGTTACGTAACTCCTTATGTTTCCTTACATTAAAATGTGTGTAATATGCCTATGGCAAGGCTTCCTGTGAGGATCAAATTAAGAATTAAAAATGGTAATACATGTGAAAGCACCCAACACAACGCCTGGAACAAACAGGGCACCCAATAAATGTTTTAAAATAAACTTATGGCAGACATGAGTTACCTGAAAAATAAGGAGTTTAACAATTTAATAAGTACTATGGAGCACCTACTCTATATACTCAAAATTTAGCGGCAAACAAGACATGTGCCCGTTCTTGTGGAGCTTACATTCTAGTGGTGAGGTTGGGGAAATAAACAACAAACCAATTAACCGATAAATAATTACAGTAATATATAAATGCTACACTGAGAATTAAAATGAGATATGTAATAGCAGGTGACTGGGTGAAGACTCTAGATGGGCCAGTCAGGGGAGACCTCTCTAAGAAAGATTTTGGGATATTTAAACTGTGATACAAATGAGAAGAAAAAAACCCTGAAAGGATCTGAAGGATGAACATTTTGGACATTAACTGTGCAAAGGTGCTGATGCAGGACTAAACTCAGTGCATTTTAAGTACAAAAGAATCCCTAAAGCTACCTATATCACAGTGTCCATGGATACCATATTTTTTAAGCTCCACTGTGCATTTATTACTCTTCCAGTCACCTTGGAGGATACTCTAGTAAAATAACTGTTCTTACTTTCTGGGAACTTAAAAATGCATTTAGGTGATGATACGGGACAGCAGTGATCTGCCATCATTTTGTGTTTTCTTTTTTCTGTCTTCCTCTTATACAATACATAACACATTGTGGGAGAAAGTGTTTTAAGGAGTATGGAATACTGGAAGTACCAGTACCAAATGGAACTAGAAGTACCAGTACTGTGACAGTGGAGCAAACTCTACTATAGCAGTTGTACCAACTTTTAAGAAAATTCTTCAAGCACTGCAATATCACACCACAGAACACATCTGGAGTCACACCACAGAACACATCTGTGAATGTTTGTGTCTCTAAATCTAGGAAGGAGAAGAAGAGATCTTTCTCTTTGTATCTTTAAACAATGCTGAGTCTATATCATCCTGGTCTCAAAGGTGAGAATACTGTGCTACAAGTACCACAGAATCCTTCTGAGAGACCTATGGAATGAAGACAATTTGGCAAGATTTTAAATATTTGACTTTTGTTTTGTACAATCATTTCACTATCTCAAACAGATATTTTATTTGAATTTCCAAAGTGAAATACAGCTATGAATTAGGATATAGTGCAATGTGAAATATTAGATACTACGTTCAACTGATAAAATGAAAAATTTTATATAAAAATTGTTCAGTCAAGGTACTGTAAGATATTTTAAAATATTTCTCAAAGAAAAAGGATTCATTTGATGTGACTAATTATTAGTTTAGTATCCTAGGTGTTGATGACAATATAGAAAACTTTAAGATATGTAACAGCCAAATATGAATTTACTCTTCCTTTTCAAATGAAGCAATGATGTCCTGTCAGTCAAACTCACAGGAAGCATGTGAAATGAACATAAAAGCAAACAGGCCTTATGCTGCCTAAGGGAAAGTCAGCAAGATGGCAGTTTCAATCATTCTGAATAATACTAAAGCAGCCTCAGGCTTTTCTCAGAATGGAAACATGTCACTATTACTGCAATATTTCAACAAATCAGAATGCAGAGAAAAGAACACTTATGCAATCACATCCTGGAAGGGCACTTTACTCAACATTTAAGTGGAAAATAATTATAAAGAAATTTCAGAAAAACTGTCAGTGAACATAAATGACTCAGGGAAAAAACTGTTTTTCTTTCAATGTGCTTAGATGATTTTTAAAAAGCTTGCCACTTAGAAGCAATTTCCTTTTACATTCTCCTTAAGGAATTATTAATGTAAAGACAAATTTTTATGAAGAAGTGCAAGTGAAAAGTTTGGTATTCAGCTAGCAAGAAATACTTGTTTCTTGCCCCAGTGCAGTACTATTACCTTGGGAAGTTTGATCAAAGGGAATTAGCTTTCACAACATTTATATAGGAAGTTAAAAAATACTTCAAATATTTTGGGAATTTACCTAATCAGTACACTTTTAGCATGTGTCTAGTCATGTAGCCATCTTTGGTCAATCATCAAAAAATCAAAGGCAAATTGGCATGACTCAACCCTAACTTTAATACCGCATGATTGTGTCGTGTAAGCTTGTTTTGTGTGAGAGCTGCTGTGGTTTTAGCAGAGAGATTAACAACCGGACCTAAGCTGGCCTCCAAACCTTGCCCTGCTGATGCCTCAAGCTCTTTGAAGTCTGACCATCATACCTGGCAAAACAACAGTGGGAACTAGGATGGTGTCAGATCTAATCAAATTGTTCTCAGCAGCATAGCTAACTATGGGGTTCACTAATTGGCCCAATTGCGGATTATACCTTTGCTACAGATTCAAGACAATAATTTAGTTAAATGATTTTTTTTCTTATCTCTTCTAATTAAGATTCCAAAGTGGGAAGAAATAGGATTAGACAGAGCTTCAAAACTGTGCTCCCCTTAAGGTGGTTTGCACTTTTGATAGGCTCAGTATGACATGTGAAATATATGGAGTATAGTAAGTATTAAACCAACTTCTGGAGATTCTGTAAAACCTATGTGACATTACTGTATGTCTATGTCACTTAGGAATTAAAGTGTAAATATGTGGATGATAATATAACAAATATGTTAAAATGTAAACATGTAGAAAATTAAATTTCTGTTGTTAAAAATGTTAATTTGGGTTTACTTTTGGTAAATGACTCCATCCACATACCAGATATCTATGTTCAACTTTGATTTATTTTGCTAACTGCATTAAATGTAGAAATGAAAACTACTTGAAGTAGCAACCAATATTTGTGGGAGGCATCATTATCAGAAATGGTATATTGGACTGTATGTAGTCTATGATGTTAGGACTTAATGTTCCAATGCCAGACATTTATGCTTCCATTATTTTAATTTAGTGACATAATTGTGAATGACAGGCAAGTTAACCATCCCTCCCCCTCCTCTCTACCTCTAGATATAGTAAACATATAGTCATGTTTCTGTTTCCTATTAAAAAAGTGGGAAGGCTGTTGAAAATTAATGTAGAGAAGTACGGAAACCAAAGATATCATGCTACACTCCAAATTGCCCCTTGAATCCAACCACGCCCACTTAGCTGACCATGTGACTAAGTACATTCCAACATGTAACAAATTTACCAGCATGGAGTCAGAAAAGTTATTTCTGCTTTACCTTCTAAACTACTTTTCTCTTCTGAAAGCAAGACTCAGATTCAGTGCCTGACATATTTTAGCCTCAGACTTTACAGACTAGTACAAGGTTTTTTTTTTTTAAATATCAGACCAATTTTCAAAAACATTTCTTTGCTGTGCATATTAAAACACTGGCACTTGATAGATGATTTTCCCTCCCCCTGCCCTCGGTAACAGCATCCTTGAGCTAATTATTTCTACTCTTGTTTCAGTTTCTATATTTTATCACCAAAGACTTGCTATCTGTCTAGACACACATTTTATAATGTTATATTTAAAATAGTAAATCTTAGGTGAACCACATGATTTCATTCCCTTATAATCACACCTATATGCACTTTTCTTAGGCTGTTTGATCCCTTAAATTTTATATTTCCGAATTACCAAACTGAATACTATGGCATAAGTAAATAGGTTATTTAGAATGTGTTTCACCTACGTTTCTATTTAAAACAAAACAAAACAACTCCATTGATTACGTTATAAGCCAAAAGGTAAAGGCAATGCAATGTTTTGACAGATTCTATTGAATATGAACTTTTTAAAAAAATAACTGTATATCTGTGCCTTGTTTTAAAATATTGCTTCTAAACCACAGAGTGACCACATTATAAGGGTTCTCATAGTTTAGCATAGTGGGAGGAAGAATAGAGAAAACGGAACAAAAACCCGCGTGGTTAACAAAAGATCTTTCATCAGCTCCAATGGTAAAGTGTAGTCACTATTAGAACCTGAAGTTATTCAAAGGAGGTCCCACTTGACATTATGTAAGTCCTTTATTTCTCCCCTCCACTCCAACTCCAAATGAGAGAGACATCATAAACATGATTCACACTACTTTCTTCTATAGGTTTTATATATATATATATATATATATGTATGTATATATGTATATATATATATATATATATATATAATTTTTAATTGGGGAACCTCTTTGCTTAGTTTGTATGGAATACAAATGATATCCTTAGACCTTATTGTCAGAATTATATCCTTGGGAGAAAGGTGCCACATAGAGAAAAAAACTTACATTATTCATTAAAAATATAAGTTCAATTTAAAAGGAAATGGTGAGACATTTCTTCCTTGGAACATAACACAACAACTTTATCCCTTTAAAGATTTTTAGCAATATTATGGCAAAATGCTCAATGTTCTGTCTGAAAAAGTGAAATGACGTTTGAACAATTACAGTGTTGAGTTCCAATTCAATGGTTTCTTTTGAGAACTAGAGCAAATTAGCTCAAGAATCACTATTTCTACACTTGTTCTTTTGGCTTTAAGTGGCTTTTAAAGGGAGTATCCCCAGAAGAGAAACTTCTAACACTCATGCAGAGATGACCTGCTTGAAGAACTGGCTGCCTGATTAACTATTAACTGCTCTCAATAGGATTAGATAATTAAGGACATTGATGACCATTAATTAGGAGGAGGGCACATTAATTTGTCACTGGATAGGGCCCTTACAATGATTTATAGGTTGGTGCTACTTGCAAATGTGAAGGAAAAGAGGAAAAAAGAGAGAACCATTAAGTTACCTTATCAAGTGGCTAGCTAAAGAGGGCAGAGGGTCAAAAAAGGGCCAAAATGGTCACTTAAGGGTGAAGTCCCAAACACCAAAGCAGTGCCAAGCCACATTGACCATCATTTGGTGATGAAGTTAAAAATATGCTAATTTATTGGTGGCAATTCTCTCTTTTTATGGTTTCAAGCAGTTAAGACAAGTGGCCTGCTTAAGAGCTTTTCATTTGAAAAGAGATTAAACAAAATGGTTTGTCAAGGCTGCTTGGCTGTTTCATGTCTTTGTTAAAAAAAATTGCACAGACTATACTGATAACTATCACATCACCCAAAAGCCATCTCTCTCTGAGCATTTACTTCGTTAATAAATACATCAGCTCTAATTGTTTAATAGTTCCATGTTCATCTGGTCTTTAGCAAGATTAAGTTGAAATAAATCTTTTGTACTACTACTTTGTTACTATTGCTTACATAAAGGTCACCAAAAAAGACTTTAAATTTTGTACAAATTTACTTAAAGACATTAGTCCAAATTATACTTTATTTAATTCAACACAGAAAGTTAAAGGCAGTTTCACTAATAGTAAGGAGAAATGCTTTTAGACTATAGATAAGGATCCCCTTCTTACCCACACACAATTGTGGATAGCATACACATTCCACACACAAGTAAGCACAGCTCATTAACATTTAATTAAATACGCTTTTGAAAGCCTCAAATCAGCATATCATACTTATTATGTAAGGTTGGAGTTTACTTTTAATAGATATTTAAATCAAGATCATTTCTGCTATACTCTAATGATATATCATTAAAATAAAAAACAAAAATAGAAGTCTAAAAAACAGCATTCTGTTACACCAAAAGAACTTAAAAATGATGAGCATGAAACAATGTTTTAAGAATTTAATTAAAGTTAAAAAAAAGATACTATTTACCTCAAGACTGTGAACAAAAATATAAGAATTCTCTCTTACCTCAATGGTGAATTGCTTCCTTTTTAATTTGAAACCTAAGTCTTTCACATCTGATACATCACAAGTCAAGTTATTAAGCCGAGGAATCTGCCGAATATGAATCAAACCTTGGGTAGAGTAAGTTAAAAGAAAAAAAAAAAGCTGTCATCAGATGCATAAATTAAAGAGTCTTACAGCAGAATTCTGTAAATTTACACACAAGCATCCTCCCCTTTTAAAACTGGAGCTTACTACCAGGAGCAATGAAGCAAATGGTGTGATTATACTCAAGTAATCAAGCAGAATAAGATAAACAGAAATCCTTGTGCGAGGAAAACTAATTGCACTTTGGTACAGAAGTACAGATGTAAAGAGGGATCTTAATACTTGTCAAAACTACAGCCGGTTTGTGTGTGATTTTCTCTTGTATTTACAGTAAGCAAATATGGCTATCACCTTGCATGCTGCCCACGGCACCACTGAGTAATCTTTATTTTATTAAATGCACCAGTAAGCAGCCAGCAAAACAAGACTTATGGGTTACTGATAACGAGTGAAGCACTAATGTAAAGTATTTCATTTTGTACCTTATTAATGACTTGAACAAATCGTTGAAGAAAACTACATTTCAGATTACCCCCATGCAATCCAAGACACTCATTTCTGTGGCATCCTAGACCTTTATGTAGCTGTTAGGAGTTTTGCAACAGTGCTAGGTAAACCGTGAACTTTGGTCTCTTGTCAGTAGAAACACTTGCTAATTTTTTCTGACAAGGGGACTGGATGGCTTTTGTGCAGCCTAACGTAGTTTCTGACTAAACTAGGGGTCATTCGCCACAGATGAAGACTGACTCAGCCCATATTTAAAAATCTCCATTTCAAGGATACTGATGCCTAAACATGAGGAAAAAGGCAAACTATGGATTTGAATAAATTAGATAAATTTTATTTACAGAACAGCTTCTCTAATACAAGGTTTTGTGTGTGTGTTTCAATGCTCAGTAATGAATCACTTTTTTATTTTGGCTTAAAAGGGTAAGCCTCCAGGTATGTAACTTTAGAAATGGTCCCTTCAAAAATAATTCATTTAAACACCTGACTTAATTTTTAAAGTTAAAAAAATTCAAATATATTATGAAAGAAGACAGCTTTTAGCTACAAATTAAAAATATTTCATAGAGAGCTATTTAGTAAAATATGTTTATTAGAAATAAACACACCATATTTTTATTTGTACATTTCTCATTTTAACCATATATACGCTTGTTATCTAGCTATTAAATCAAGAAGGCTTACAGAACAAATGATTTCACAGGTCCTTCTTATTAACAGAAACTTTACTAGTCTAGTCATCAGAATCACTCATTAACCTGTGGGGAATAATTTATCAGTTCAGAGATTTCAGCACGAAGAATCATTATAGCCCTTCCACCTCTGAAATACTTTAATCTAAATAACATTATTTTAGAATATACCACAAAATTTATTAGGTAACATTTAATTTGAATTTTTTTAAAAGAAAATGGAAATAATAAATTAAAGAAATACCTTATTCTTAACAGATTTCTTCCTATCATAATAAAAACGATGTATTAAATGTTATATATAGTCTTAACTTGGACATATACCACATGCACACTTACACAAGTAAACTATCATGAGGCAAATTATTTTTACAGTGGCTTTTGCTCACAGTTTATATTCTCTAATCTTAAAAAAATAATTATTAGATCACACTGGTTTTATTATTTTTTAAAAGATTTTATGCTGACTCTTCAAAGTAGTGGCTGAACTTATAATATAAAGTATCTTATTATCTTTAATACTTTCTAGTATGTAAACCAGTAACAATAAAAAAAATTGCCACAGTCTTACACAGTCTTGCAGCAGGCCTCAAATAAGCTGTTCAGTCTTTAGAGGTTTCCATGGAAGTACTGTAATTTCACAATAATAATAGCAATAATAGATGTACACTCAGAATATCACTCTAGACAAGGTAGAACTCTATTAGTCATTATAGTCTACATTCAGTTTAGACCTAAGATATGCATAACACTAATTTTTTCCTATTCAAATAGTTCTATGTAAGAGCTTTTATTTTAAAAAATCTCAAAATCAACCAAATGACTAAAATATTATTAAAAGCTTCAAAAAAATAAGTAGAAATTTTGTCTAATTAACTGACCTGTTTTTATATCAAAGTGGCAATATTTAAAAATTTTTCATAACTCAAACTAACAATATGAGTAAACCGAAAATATTTTTTCCTACATGTAGGAATTTAAAACACGATACTATGTATTTTATTTATCTAAACGGCTAAGCTTTGTAAAATATAAGCTGCTATACAAAACTGTTATTATTAGAAATAACATGATATTTATTTCAAATATGGCCAATAAATACTACTGATAGCAACTTTAGGCCACTTAGCTAACAGAACGTACATTTGACTAAGCCACAGCTTACTACTAGGGCTTAACCCCGTTTACACAGTTACCATACTTCCTCTGTAGTCTTAATGTAGTTTGGGACAAGCTACCTGCCTCAATATTGGCTACAAATGGAAAACATTTCACAGGCATACTGTAAAATAAAATTCATTCTACTTGACAGTAGATATTCTGACTGGACAGTCCAGGCACCCTAGAAGCAGCCAGGACATGCTCTTCTCATTATAATGCTTACCATGATAATCCTTATATAAGGGGTTGGTTTCTTTCTCAGAACCGATAAATGATTCCAGTCCAACTACTGTATCTGACAAATTTGTAACACGGGCAATAACTGCTTTATTCTGCAAAACATTGAAATAAAACATTCATGTAATGTTAAAAAATGTAGTATCTATATAGTGCCACTATGCTATCTCACTGACAAATTGTAGTGGAGATAGACTATTAACACAAAGAAATAAAAGTTAAAGCTAATCATAGGCTGAAAACAGGATAAAAATATGCCCTTAATTGAAAATCCCAGCCCATGTAGGTATGCTTTTCTAATTCAGAGAGTTGAAGGGACATGGCTTAGTTCTGTTAGAAAATATAAATTATTTTTCTTTTGTCTTAAGGGGCAAGGCTACTTTTACCCTCATACATTATTCTTCAAATTATTCACCAATTGCCCATTGGAGAATCAGAAGTAGTAGACAGTACAGTACAAAGCATAATGCAACGGTTCCATGGATGCCTGTCAGCTGGGACCAGGTCCAGTCTTATAACAACTGAGGTCTTCATAACATATTAGAAACATTGAAGGGTCTAACTAAGAGGCTACAGCATGGCTAGCTCTGGAGTCTTCTGTTCTCTTTTTCCAAATACTACCATTTGGCTCTGGGATAACAATAAAGGCAAAGAAAGGATGGTAGATGACTAGTACCAGATCAGTAGCCTACTCTTTCCTTCCCAAGATTACCTGAAATGTACCAAAATACTGCTAAATAATACATCTTAAAAATATGCGACTATATTTTGCTATATTAAAATAATGTTAACATGCTCCCAAATACAGGATGTCTAGTTATTAAGTAGCAAAAGTCCTAAAATATCCAGAATTTCATGTTTATAAACATATAAGCAACAAATATCTCGTAGTTTTTTTTTCTTTTAATATTTTATTATGCTTTAGGTGAAGGTTTACAGAGCAAAACAGTTTCCCATTCAACAATTTGTACACAGGATGTTTCAAGACATTGGTCAGAGTCCTCTCAATGTGTCAGCATTCTCCCCATTTCCATCCTGGGTTCCCGGTTACCTTTCGTCCAGTTTTCCTACCCTTTCCTGCCTTCTCATCTTTGCTTTTGGGCTCATATAATTAACTGTTCTAAGGAGCTCATTCCTCTCAGGTGTTGTTTATTTTGCAGGCCTGTCTATTGTTTGGCTGAAAGGTGGTCTCCAGAAATGGCTTCAGTTCCATGTTAGAAAGGTGTCTTGGGGCATAGTCTTGGGGGTTCCTCCAATCTCTATCAGACCAGTAAGTATGGTCTTCCTTGTAGTTTTTTTAAAAGAATTATTGTATTAAATGGAAAATCAGTATTCCCTTTAGCCCCTGACAGGGTGGTAAGAAAATTATTTTACTATATATATATAT